CATTATGCATTTGAATCAGGAGATGACACTGAAGGACTTGCTGGAAAACAACGTGCTATTGAAATCCTTATTCAGCACAATGCAGACATTTATCTAAAAGATTCGTCTGGGCTTTCCGCCTTTGATATGGCTAAGCGTGAGGGACACGAATCTTGGTTAAGAACCGATGAAGCATCATTGACAGTCCGAACATGCTCAAAGAAAGGAAAAACATACTGTTCCATAAGTTAACCATGAACGCGATAAGCCTGCCCTAATCTGAACTAGTCCCTTATTCAAGAGAAAGCAAGAGTCGTACGAAATCTGATAAAAATAAAGAACTTAATGCTATCACTTGGAACCCCAAAACTAACCTTAGCGACCAAAGCACGTACACGTTTACAATGGAAATTTCAAAGAATTGAATCAACTCCAAAAAATTTATTCCGTCACCGTTTTTGGTGACCACTTTTCCAGTTGATTCATTTGGAAATTTACAGTGAGGGAATACAATTAAGTAACAATATATATAGCATTTGTATAAAGGGAAAGAGTAACAGATGATGAACTGCATCGCAATACAATTAAGTAACAAGATATATACCATTTATATATAGACGAAGAGTAAAAGATGATGAACTGCATGGGAATACAATTAAGTAACAATATATATAGCATTTGTATATTAGGGCAAGAGTGACCAGACATTGAACTGGTAGTACAATTAAGTAACCTAACAATATATATAGCATTTGACATTTGTATGTTTCATAAATTTCATGTAGTTTTAAAGCAGTTACTGTTAAAATTTTGAAACGTGTACAATATATATAGCTAGCACTAGTTGCATATTCATAAATTTCATGTAGTTTTAAAAGCAGTTAAACTGTTAGAATTTTGAGAAGTGTATAACGATAAATAACTAGCACTCACGGCCGCACAGAGAAATTCGGGGGCCCGGGGCAAATTTTTAATTCAGGGCCCCTATTTAGGGGGAGTAAAAAAATTTTCTCAGACATACTGTATCCAAAAAAAAAAGGTTCAAAAAAATTTTCCAGACAAATACCAGCAAAATTCAGGTCTAAAAGATTTCTCTTATACCATGACTTATATAAAAAAACGTTCCAAATTATTTTTTTTAATTACATTTTCGGGTCCCCCCCCCCTTTGCAAATTTTGAGGCTCCATTTAACTGGGGCACCATTGCCACCTTGCCCCCCCCCCTCTGGGCGGCACTCCTAGCACAAGTTGTATATTCATAAATTTGTGGTTTTAAAAGCAGTTACTGTCAAAATTTTGTGATGTGTTTATTTGTCCATTAAAGAACACTGAAAATATCAGCACTGTGGAGGCAAATTTGTTCTGTGGACCATGATGTATATTTATAATGGTCTAATGAAAGAACTCATTTGGTAGTCTACAAACCCATATTTCATTTCCCATGGTGGATTCGTAGACTTCCATTTGGCCCGCACAGTAGTGATAAATTCATATAACACTGTAATTTTTATACTATATTAGTTTTTCTCAAACTTTAACCTGTGATTTTAAACTCTTATCTTTGACAAAAGATAAAAATACATTTAGTGGCTGCCGAGTTCATTTGTGGGTGATTAATATATAAATTGGCAAATTATTTTGACAAACGGTTACGAATCTTTAAATTATTTTGGCCCTGATTATCATCGGTACAATCATTTATAAAAAGCTATATATATATATATAGTAGAAATTTCCATTCGGAAGTGAAGAACAGCAAAATGTGCATGAGCCAAGTTGGGTTTTCCAGAATGACCACATGTTACAATTGGCCGGGTTACGATTACATTCATTTGGTAAGAAAACTTTGAAAAAAATGGCAAAAGGCAATTTCTTTGAAAGTCAATGCTTGTTTGTTGTATGAGAAAGTATTTCAATTATTAAAACAGTCCACATAGAAATTCTAACAAACTGTCAGTTAAAATAATATTCAAATACACATCAAGTATATTCGGCAAAATATCCAAGAACAGCACAGTTATATATTCGTATGACATGCTGTTTATAATGCCCCCCACATGAAATTAGTTTTTCACTTTGAGGATTTTTTTATACTTTTATTTCATACTCTGAAACAAAAGTATGAAGCTGGTAACAGAAGAGCGAGTTAGATATGGCAAGTTTTATTCCAAGTATACACTTACAAGTTGAAAAGGTAGTGTAACATGCTAGCTTTTGAACAAGTGTGCTTGTCTTTGAAAAAACTGGCAAGAAAAATTTGACAAAGCAATTTGAGTCCTTGGACACAGTTGGTTTATAGCGATCTATTGTCGTTGATAGCTGTCTGGCGCCAAGAAAGACAAAGAGTGTCAAAACTTGTTATAGAAAATTTGTTGTACATAAGACAACCTCGGCAAAGTTGATCGTACTAAAACTATTTGTTCAGTTTGATGGTGAATTGAATATTTAGAAAGCGATACTTTATAGTAAAACATTAAAAATACGGAATATAAACGGAACACCTACCTATCTCAAACGATCCAGTGCTGAAAATATACATCAACATTCGACAGGGTCCACAAAGCGAAGAGCTCAACGTTTCTGCCAAACCATGCGTTACAACCAGCAACTGCAGTGTCCCATAAACGTTGAAAAAACACAAATATTTCTCGTAGTCTTGTATTTCGGTTAAATTTTCATCAAATATTTGCAAAAATTGCAACAGGAAAGCACACGTGCGCTGTATTTTGACATTTTATAAAATTTCAAAAGTGCGCGGGCGGAGAATCCGCCTTAAGCCGGTTTTCCACTAGCGATTTTTTTCGCGCGAAGCGACTTTTTTCGCCGATGCGCATGCGCATTTAGCAATTACGTCATTCGAGCAATTCGCCAAAGCGAAGAATAAGCGAACAAAAGCTTCGTCGAAGCGAAAAAACGAGTTCGACCGAATCCTACTTTTTTGCCGCGAAAAAAGGAGCAAGCCAATCAAAATGGCGGACCAAGAAGAACGACAAACTTTTTGGAGTGCCGAAACCGACTTTAACTTAAATGTGGAGAGCCCGGAAGGTGTTGAAACAAGTCCAGACAGTCCTGGTGTGACTGAAGTAGTTGAAGACGATGAAACCATTCAAGAAAATGATGCTGAAGCTCCCGTGGAGCGACTGGACTCTGCTGCTGTTGAATTCGAAAAAGAACTATTTCTTGAAGAAGTAAGAAAATACAGATGCCTATGGGATATAAACTCTGAGGCATACAAAAACAGACCAATTAAACAGAATGCGTGGGCCAAGATTGCAACCGTATTCAGCAAAGATGGTGAGATTTATATATAGTTATGTTTTTATATAGTTAATAGTTTGTATTTTTTGTTATATAATAGATCATTCATATTTATATCATATAAAAGAAAAGGCACATATAGTGATATAGAGGCTGAAAGTGAATTAATGTCGGCAAGTAATCTGCAGGTTGAAATTGGCCATGACAACAATGTATTAAAATAATAAAATGATTTTAATACATGTCCAAACCACTGTATATAGTTAAGCCACTACCTAGAATGTGTTTCATATTATATTAATCTCTCGGTATCTACAGAAAAATTCTAGATGAACTCCTTGAACACTTCTGTAGCATATTTGAATAAAAAATATTCGCCCACCCCCCTTTAAGACATGCAACAAATTGTTTGACTCAAGCTCCCTTTTTTGCTCGCATGAAATATTTTGCACTCATTTAGATTATAAACACTACCCATTTCCCTTTATGACCTTTGCCATGAAAATTGCCATGCTGGGGAGTGTTTACAATCTAAATACATGTCTTAAAGGGGGGTATTTTTATGTAATAATGCTAGAGTTCAAGAAGTTCATCTAGAATTTTCTGTAGTCACCAACTCCAGCAAGTCATTAACTGCAAATATAATATGGAACACTTATATGTAGTAGCATAACTACAACTACTGTAAAATCATCAGAGATTTCACAATTTTCCAGGGGAGCATGCTCTGAAACCCGCTAGGAAATCTAGTACTCATACTAGGACTCCTAGCACTCGACGGACTCCTAGCACTCGACACAGCCTTCCCAAATTTTGAATCAGGAGCCCCAGATTGTTATGCAACTGATTCTATAATATATACTTGTGATGGTAGAAGACCTATACATGAGCTTGCATGACAGGTGGGTGGGGGTCATGACAAAATATATGTCAACTATTTTGAAAGGCCTGCAATTTCTGCACCATAGACTGGGAGGAATCAGCCTAAAAGAGGTAGTCAATGATAAAAATGCACCAGTCCTCTCCCTCTAGCCATTCCCTTTGCTATAGGTGGTTTGCAATAAATCCCTTGAGATTGATGATACAAAAATACAGTGGCCATCGTGGAGCCATGGTGTTAAGTGCAAACCACATAATACTAATATCACCTTGTATACTGTGCATTTCTTATTTAGTTCATAGTTTGTAATACTTTTTCTTATTTTTTAGTGGAATTCTTGCAAAGACAACTAAAAAATCTAAAAGATAATTTAAAAAAATGTTTGGACAAAAGACAAAGGATGACAAAGTCTGGTGCAGCAGCTTCATCATTACCAAGATGCAAATATTTTGAGCAAATGAAGTTTCTGCATGAGAAAACATCAAACCAAGCAACCGAAAGTAATTTGACCTATTCTCAGAATTCTGTTCAACAAGTTACACCATCACCCTCTGCTACTATATCTATACCAAATCCATCACATTCCACCTGTAGTAGTACTACTACTACTACAAAACGAAAGGCTAGTCAAATGTCAATACCTCCAACAAGCAGTCGGCATGGATTTCAAAAATCACGTCAAGATGCCATTGACATGGCCATTTTGAAGCAGTTGGAAAACACAGACAAAACCATCAATAAATCATTAGCAAATGAGGAGACTGATGATGAAGTATCACATTATTGCAAAAGCTTAATTCCTGTCATAAGTGCTCTTGCATTGAGAAAAAAGAGGTTGGCCATGATTAAAATAAGGCAACTATTATTTGACATTGAATTTGAAGACTAGCTACTAGTAAACTTCAAATTTTCATGGTACTTTAGTACTTACAACTTTGTTGGGTTTATGCAATTTTCATAAAACTGTTTTTAAGTGTTTTTTAATTAATTTAATAATTTTCATAACATTACATCTTGTAAAAATTAAGTATATTTAACATTCTGTTTGATTGTTCTAGTTCCATATTATTCATATTTGTACATAATTTACAGTCATTACAATGACACTTTATATTTCTACATGATATTATTGTTATTATTATTCGCATGGTCAATCTTAAGCCTGGTTCACACTAGTCGCAAGAATCGGAGATGCCTATTGTCGCTGATCATTCACGAGTAAAATCCTTTGTGTATCGCAATCCCAAACAATAGCATCCCCGATTGTTGCAACTAATGTGAACCAGGCTTTATATTTAACCCATGCTTTCATGTATAATCAAACAGTTTGAAAAGCAACGTCAAAGGTCTAACAATCACCAGGCTGAAAATCTTTGTTTTGTCTTTCTTCCGAATTGACTGTTTTATTTACAAGTGAAATGGGTTATATGTAAAGTAAGTTTCATACATACATGGTCTACATGGGTTGAGTTAATCTATCCAAAAATGCATCATAGGGAATAACAGTGCGACTTACTAATTCCCATTGCCATTCCACTGCTCCCTCAAAGACAAAATAATCTTTAAATCCTTGCCTAACTGAAGCAGCATCTCTTGAATAGTTGTTTGAACCAGTTCTGGAAATTGGCTGCAACCCCAAAACTGCATTTCTATCTTTTCTCCATTCCCCAGCTCTTAACCCCGAAGGTCCATCTTGATCCATGAAGGTCCTGGGACAGTATTTATAATTGTCCCTTGATGAATTAATTGTCATAAGAAAATTGTGGAGAGCAACAACGGCTTTCGTTACCAAAATAACCTTCTCCACATTTGCAATGATTGGTTTGCGGAATATTCTGAACCTACTGGCTGCTATACCAAATGTGTTCTCAATAACTCTTCGTGCCCGCGACAATCTATAATTAAATACACGTTGGTCAAGTGGTAAGTTTTGTGAAGGGAAAGGCTTCATCATGTGTGTTTTTAAACCAAACGCATCATCACCAATAAACACGTATGGCAGGACTTTCTCTGAATTAGTTAGCTTGCTCTCACTTGGAATGTTCAGTAGATTATTCTCAATGGCATAACCTAAATGACTGCAACCATAGACACTACCATCGCTTTGTCGTCCAATGTCTCCAATATCGACTAAAGTAAACTGATACTTGGCATTACACACAGCCATAAGAACAATACTAAACGTTTTCTTGTAGTTGAAGTAAGCAGATCCTGAATTACCTGGAGCCTGCATTAAAACATGTTTACCGTCTATGGCACCTACACAGTGAGGAAAGTTCCAACAAGTCTCAAACTCTTCGGCAATTACTTTCCATTCATTCTCTGTTGACGGGTGCTTAACATAA